GTGCGGCGCCCGCCTCTCTTTGGTGGGCAAAATTCCCCGCTCCCCTCCACGCATGTGAGGACCTCTTGAGGACCTCTCCGATGTGAGGACCTCCTTTGTGAGCACTTGAAGTGAGGACCTTTCGCTCTGAGCGCTCTGCCACTCTCAGCGCACCTCCTGGACGAGCTCTGGCTGGGGATTTAAGTCATGTGCAGTGCAGCCCAGACGTCATTCCGCTCATTCCGCTCAGCCAGGAGCTCCCGCACGCGCTGGCGCGATCATGGCGCATGCAACGCGCAGCAATGCTCGCCTCGCCTCGCGCAAATGCGACCGCGTCCTCGCAGCCGACAGTCCACCGCCTGCTAAAGAAGCACTGCGATGAATGCGGCACCGGCGACGCATGGCAGGCTGGTCATGACGCAGTTATAGGGTGTTGTGTGCCGTCAGAGTGACTCTCTGTGTGTCAGGGATAGTCAGGGCCGTCCATCAGAGCTCCAGTAAGCTCGGAGACACCCCATTAGTGCGACTCGACCTCTTTGAGTCACTGCCTTCCCGGGGCGGTTTGGAGTAGAGCCTCTACAACAAACTCTACAACAAAATCGCGCTCTACATCGCTCTACAACGCAGGCGCCTCGTCACGCGGCGGATGTAGAGCTCTACAGCTCTACAGCGCTCCAGAGCGCGCTACATCTCTACAGCTCTACAGCGCTCTACACTCTCTCTACATCCTCTACACCCTCCCTCAGCAGCCGCATCAAGCTCCACCTCCGCATCAGGCCCTGGGAGAGTGCGGTACGGCCTGCGCGCCAAACGTACTCGGCCGAGCAGAAGAGGAAGGCCGTCGCCTCCATCCCCAACGGCTTGCCGTCCAATGAGGCCGCCAAGCGGCTCCGGACCATCGGCCATCGCTGGCTACGAGCGTGTCACCGACGCGATGCTCCAGCGCTGGCAGCGGTCGGGACCCAAGAGGAAGAGGGTCTGTGGGGCCCCCTGTACCCCATACCCCCCCGCCCGGGTGTTTAGCAATTGGTCCCTTGGCAAGTGCAACGACATTTTTCTTCTTCCGTGCCTCTTATTTGCTTGTAAGATTCTTTTCCCCCTTCTTCGCTGTCGCCAGCCGCGCCCGGTCCAGTGCGGCTCATCCGACTCCCAGCTGCTGGCTCCAGGAACTGATCCGGCCGTCGTGTCTGTTGTGTATGGCGCTGCTCTTCTCGCTCTTCTCCTCCTCCTCCGCCGCGTCGCCGCGGCCGCTCCTCGTCACCTCTGCGGACGGCGCTGAGGGCTTCGCGGTGCTCACTGCGCTCGTGTCCGCCCGCGACCCGTCCAGCCTCGTCGGCTGCGTGGACAGCGCCGGCTCGGAGAATTCGCTCGCGCTGCGCGCGCTGGGCGTGGCGCTGCGTCCTGCGGATGACCTTCGTGGCTGCTTCTCGGGCGTGTCCTTTGCGCTGCTCGCGGCTCCGCTCACCGCCGACCGTGCGGCGCGCGCATCCGAGCTCATCGCCGCCGCCGTGGCGGCGAGAGACGAGGAGGGTCTCGCCGCGGCCTTCCTCGTCTCTGTGATTGGCTCGACCGCCGCTGCCGCCCCGCCCTCCGTCGCCGAGTACGGAGCGATGGAGAGGGAGCTCTTCCAGCGGTGGGGCGACGTGCCGGGCGCGGTGGCGCTCCGCACAGCCTTCTTCCAGCAGAACCTGCTGCTGTGGGCGGGAGACGCGCGCGAGCACGCCGCGCTCCGGCTGCCCCTCGGCCCCGCCGCCTGCCTCGCGCCTCTCTCCTCGCGCGACCTCGCCTCCGTCCTCGCCGCCCTCTGCGCGCCGGCCGGGCTTCCGCCGCTGGGAGAGCTGCCCTTCCTGCCGGCGGAGGGAGGGGCGCCAGCCGCGCTAGAGCTGAGCGGGCCTGCCTGGCTCAACGGCTCGCGGCTGTCGGCCGTGGCGACGGCGACGGCGGGCACCCCCCTCGGCTTCGCGTCTCTTCCCCGCGCAGAGGCGGCGGGTGTGCTGCGGCGGGCGGGCCTCGACGCGTCCGAGCAGCGGCTGCTGCTCGACCTGCTTTCCGCCCAGTCGGCCCTTCCTCCTGCCGGCGGGTGCGAGGCGCTGCAGCCGAGCGCGGGCCTGCCCGCCCTGCTGGGCCGGCCGGGCGCGCCAGTCGGCGCATTCTTCCTCGAGCAGGCGGCGGCCTTTGCGGCGCGGGACGCGCCTACCGCCGGGGAGGGGGTGGCGGGGGAGGGGCACCACCACCATCCGCGCACCGGGTGGAACTCGCGCGTCATCGCGGGCTACGAGGCGGCGCCGTGGCAGCACGGCGTGGTCCTCCTCCTCGCCCTCGCCCCGGTCGGCCTCGCCCTCGCCGCGTGCAGCCTCGCGCGCGGCCGCCGCGGCACGCTGCTCCACGCCATGTGCTTCCCCGACGAGTCGGCACAGAGCGGCGTGGAGCCGGGGTGGAGGCTCCTGTAGAGTAGGAAAAGGGAAGAAAGCGAGA